TTGATCGGACTCTGCCTTGGGCAGTGGCCAGACTCTGACCCTGCGTCCGGTCAGTGGTGTGCAGTGAAGGCCACCCTCGGTCCTTTGACCGGACGCTGAGAAGAAATGTGATCGGACTCTGGTTGAACACTATTTAGTGTTCGGTCCTGCTGACGTGGCGGCACGCAGAGAAGAGGAGGAGGAGCGGACGCATCGACACGTCCGGTCATGGTGGACCGGACACGTCCGGTCGACAATTGGCCACTCTAGAACCTTTCTGGAGTCAACCGAACTCTGAGTAGTGGAGAGTCCGGTGGCGCAGCGGTGAGTTCGGTCACCACTTAATCATGAAAGATGCTGAGAATCGACCATTGAGATCGCGCGGTGAAGAATCAAAAGAGGAGACATGTGGCGAGCATCGAGCGACCGAACGATGTGGGTCTGCGTCTGGTCACCTCGAGTTGGGCTGCAGCGAGAGCCCAACGGCTCTATTTCAAGGGAGCCTCTATTTAAGCCTCATGACCAGCTCTAGCTCATACCTTTTGGCCATTTGTATTGACTTAGCAACCTTGTGAGCTTAGCCAAAGCCCTCCCACTCATCTCCATCATTGATTCATCATCTTTGTGAGATTGGGAGTGAATCCAAGTGCATTGCTTGAGTGTTTACATCTAGAGGCACTTGGTGTTCGTGTTTCGCTGTGGAATTCTCTTGTTACTCTTGGTGGTTGCCATCATCTAGATGGCTTGGAGCAGCGAGGATCATCGAGCGGAGGTTGGTGATTGTCTCCGGCTCTGATCGTGGTGATTGTGAGGGGTTCTTGACCTTTTCCCGATGGAGAGCCAAAAGGTACTCTAGTGAATTGCTCATGGCTTGTGTGATCATCATCTTGTATTGGTTGTGCGGCACCCTATTGAGGGTTTGGCGTGTGATGCCAATCAGCGCGTGAACCTCCAAGTGAGTGAATCGCCACAACAAGGACTAGCTTGCCGGCAAGCAAGTGAACCTCGGTAAAAAATCTTGTGTCACCTTGTCCGAGGATTTCATTGACTATCTTGTGATTGATTGATTGGCTCCATCTTGTGATTGGCTCATACCTCGACACGTCGATATAATCATCGCCATTCTCTCTTGTATTATATTCCTAGTGTGTAAGCTAAGCTCTTTAGTGTAATTAGTTTTGAGAGCTAGCTTGCGTCGGGACTCGTGGTTAGTGAGGCTCTTTAGTTAGTCTTTGAGAGCTCACTAACTTAGTATAGTGGCATAACCATTGTGTGGATAGAGACTATAGAAACTAGAATTGTGGTAGGTGGCTTGCATTTTTAGTAGGCTAGTGCAACACTCGCTTTGCTTTATATTTGTCTAACCGATTTGCTAAGTGTTGTTGTATAAATTTTTAATAGGCTCTTCACCCCCTCTATCCATTAGGACCTTTCACCTGGATTGTTGGATGACAATGTCTCCCTCAAAGGTTTTAACACCTCTAAACACATGGGATCCATTTGCTCTAGTTGCAGCACTAAACTAGCTCTAGTTTCAGCAGCCTAGTCTATGGATGATGGACACATGCACTACCTCTCACATGGGCTCCACTAATGGTACTCTGCTCTCTTGCCTTCTTCCTTACTCTAACATTACCATTGTGAACAACTCTTTTATTCCAATTGTTGCTTGGGGTCGTTCCATCGTTCCTATCCCTAATTGCACTTTTTTATTAAACAATGCGCTGGTGGTACCTTACAAAACTTACTTTCTGTTCGCCCAGTTCACACATGTAATTCTTGTTCTATTGAATTTGCGACAGTCGTTTACTATGACAACATGAATGCAGTCTACATGACAAGCAACCCTATCCATCACCGCTGCACAAAACATATCGAGATTGACATTGATCAGTTTGTTCATGAAAGTGTTGCTTTGGGGGCAAGTTTGAGTTCTGCATATCCCGCCAACACATCGGTTTGTGAACATCGTGACTAAAGGACGGTTGATAGTTCATTGATTTTAGATCCAGTCTTTATGTCTGGGATCCTTCGGCTGCAACTGTAGGCATGCTTAGAGATAGAGCTTGACTATGACTTGTATTGTACTATTCTTATAAGAGAACTCGTATCCCGTCTGTATGTAATGAAAGGTCACATAACCGGCTAAACCTAGGGTACGAGGTGTTTTCCTATTTCCCACTGCGTGGATGTTAATCATGTGAAATTATTTGTTCATATACATATAGGCTCAGTTCTGACCTACTACTAGGCTACACTAGCAAGTATCAACTTCTCTTCTTGTAAATATTTGTTGCATACTCTCTCTAATCATAAAATAAGGACGTTGGATTGTTTTAAATCAATGATTTTAAAATTTTAGTTATATATTACATTTTATGTAAAGTTGGATGCTTGAAAATGATATGAGTGGGTTTGCCTCAGGATGTAGGGCCTGTTGGGAATCGCTTAAAAGCGGATTCTCAGTGGCAGAACCCGACAATCGCGCCAAACACGTCGTAGCCGTTGTGTTTTTTTTCACCACTTGAAGCCATTGACTACAAAATTTAAACTAGGGTCTTGATTTTGGGTACCATAGCTCTCCCACCACGGATGGTGTACCGCACCGCACAGTGGGCACAAGCCAAACCAAATGTGGCCATAGTTTCATAAAGCATACTTTTATTTCCTTTTATAAATATTTTGTCACAAAAACTACTAATCAAAGTTATGTTTTGTAGACTGTTTCGACGTTCAAAATATTCTTTTTTTTTTCCTGAAAGAAGCAATATTCTACTTTCCTGATCTATAAAGGGGCTAGTACTTATTAGGTTATGTTAGTTGGTATGACAAAGAGGGCTTTGGGTAGGCATGAAGCTGTTAATGATCGTGCCGTATGCTGGTAGATTACATGGGGGTGTTCGGCTGGAGGAATTTTGATGGTTTGAAGGAGTGCTGGAGAAATTTATGAGAGAAAAACACTGTTTGCCAAGTTTCTGCAACTTAACCTCACCGTGATAAGCATCTGTGTTCCTGCTGCAGGGAATAAGTCAAAACCCCTATTAACATGCATATGCCAGAATTTCTTCCTTTGATGACATTCTGCGACATCGCTACAATAGGTGCAGTCGTGCGGATGTGTGAACTATAAATACTATGGAACTTGTTGCGTATTGTAGTGGGTGTTATAGTGTGCTTGCTTTGCTAATGCTCCATACTAGTTGTCAGTTTTGTAAACAGGAAAAAGAAATAAAAAAAGGAAAGAGAAGTCATTTCTGTTGCCAGGAGCCAGCAGTGCATACATTTGAAAATTGAAACGCTGTTCTGTCAAGGTATATGGTTGAATCTGGCATTCTGGCTGCAGTTTTGGCCTTTTTCATTATTGCATTGCATACGATGATATGATATGAGAAATTGCTTAGGGAGCCAATCTGTGAAAATCAGAACTTTGTCCTTGCCTATCCGTTTGAATGGATCTCCCGATGGCGATTTGGACCCCTTGCTTCTCCGATACACGCGGTGCCAATTTTTGCTCACTGGTCACGGACTCACGGCGATGTTTGATGCATGGTGGCCGAGAACGGATCGTGTTTTCATGTAGTATAGGTGTGTTTGGTTTTGTGGTCTATTTCTAGCCTGACTAAAATCCTGGCCTGGACAGCCTAAACCTAGTTCCAGCAAGTCAATCTATAGTTGTTTGGTTGCATGTATTGTCTAAGTATGGCTAGCATTGGGTGTGCTTGGTTGTCTTGTTTTGCATAGAATTACCTCTTCTTTATTCCGGTAAGGTTACCGCCTCTTAGACATTTCGTCGAACACCTAATCTGCATTCTCGAACACCACCATGGCTGGCTAGTCACCACCGACGAGGCCTCCGATCTTCACCTCGTCAACCCCGTCACCGGCGCCTAGGTCGCGCTCCCGCCCATCACCGCGCTCCACCACGTCGAGCGCGACACGGACGAGCATAGCGACCCCGCCTACCTTGTCTACGAGAACAAGAAACGCTACGATTATTCGAAGCTTCGATCTGACATCGTTACGGAGCCGACGATCTGGAGGTGGACCAGGCGCACCACTACGACAGAGCAGCAAGGTGCACCACGGCAGAGCAGGTCAGCGCCACGGTAGAGCACCACGGCAGAGCAGAGCGGCACCCGGGCTTGCGCCTAGAGGTGGCACCACGGCGAGCAGGGCGGCACCTTGCGTTAGGCGCCACCTGTGGTCCCGCCGCCACGGTCCTCTTATGTATCCGCCGCTGCGGTCCTCTTCAGTACCCGCCGCCGCATGGGGGTGGCCAACAGGGAGGCCCGCCGGATCTACAGCGAAGGAGGAGGTGCTCCGCTGGGGCCTCCACGGCGGCCACGGTCCCGAGCTTCCCCTTGGTCGCCATGGCCGGATCTGCAGCGGCGAGTGGCGGGGACGAGCAGGGGACCTCCACCGGAGGGGAGGATGAGCAGGGGAACACCACCGGCGGGGAGGAGCAGCAGAGTAATGGGGGAGGAGCAGTAGAGTAGACGAAGGTGACAGGAGTCCTAGCCATGCCATAGTAGTACGGATAGCCGGTCCTAATCAGGCTCTAGCCCACTTCCAAGCAACCAAACGTATCAAAATTAGTTAGGGGTTGGCCACCTAACCAAGCGTACCCAACTAGCTACCGTCTGTTCCTTTCTCGAGCCGGAGTGAAGGCAAGCAGCAGCGCGTCCAACACGGTTTCATCGGCTGCTGTCGCAGCGAAATGGCCCAACAAACGCAGGCACGCATCAGATCAAAAGATTCATCGAGAACTCGTTTAAGGGCCCAGCAGGATCATAATTATACTGGACCGGGCTTTAGGCGGGCTCTAGGTAAGCCTTCTCCCCTGCCTGTCGCCGCCACAAAGCCGAAAAGCCGACCAATTCCATCGATTCTCTCCCGACCCCGTCACCGCCGCCGCCCCGCCTTGCGCCGCGCAGGGTTTAGGGTTCAGTTTCAGTAGCGGCGGCACCAGCTTTTCTCCTCAAGAGAGCCGCGGCCACCGCTAAGGAGACGAGCTATCGGCGATGTCGTCTATCGCATCGCAGCTGAAGGCCATCAAGTCGGCGCTCGGCGCCGCGCCGGAGCCGGCCCGGCGGCCCGTCACCCGGCCGTCTGTGCTCTTCGACGCAAAGGAGGCCGCCGACATCGACCTCCGTGCCATCCTGCCCATCGCCCTCTCTGGTGCGTACCGCTAACCACCGACCTGATTGGTTCTAGCATGCTGATGCTTCTAGAGTAGCCAGTATTTCATGGAGGAAAACTTGGTGACTTTTTCCGCTAATTCGAGCGTTCTAGAATTTTGTTTGGTTCTTATTTGAGCTCCCATATAATACTCCAATCAGCTTTCTCCGAATTCCCTCTGGAGTTTAGCTGCTACTTGCAGGTTCATCCCATCCGAGTACAGAGTACGCCTAGTTGTTTATGCTTGTGCAGTTATTCATGTGATTTTCTGAAACTTTACTAATATCTCAAAATGAACGAAGTTCTGAAAAACAAAACCGATTTAGTTTTGCATATGAGGTACTTCATCATTCAAAGAGCTTCTATTCCTCTACAGTATCTGAATTAAATTGCTTTTCAGGGTTGGAGCACCTTACCAGCATAGACGAGAGGTTTGCAAGATACAGCAACACTCTGTTCAGGGAGACTAGCCTTGAGGTGAACCGCGAACAGCTGACTCCCAAGGAGAACGACAAACTCAACAAGTCCATCTCCACCTACCTTCGCCTTCTAGCTGGCTATTTGCATCTTCCCTCTGCCCTCAAGACCCTCGAATACCTTATCCGCCGATACCTGTACGAACCTAGCTCAGCTACTTTTGACGATGGCTCCTACGAGCTCTAGCTTATTGTCTTGTTTCTGGTGGAAACCTTCATGTAGGGTGCATGTATACAATTCGGATGAGTTGCTGCTGAGCGCACTGCCATACCATGATACACATGCGTTTGTCCGGATCGTGCAGTTGGTCAACGTAGGGTGAGTGTGGCTCTGGTCTGGATTGATGCTTATTTTCTCCATTGGTCTTCAATATTAACTTGTGCTCGATGATGTGTTTTCAGGAATAGTAAGTGGACATTTCTTGGTGGTGTCAAGTCCTCAGGTGCGCCACCACCCAGGAGTGTTCTAGTGCAGCAGTGCATCCGTGATAAGGCTGTGCTGGAGACCATCTGCAGCTATGTAAGGCCGAAATTAATAACCCTTTTAATGGTTGGATTCTGTCATGATTTTGGATCTTACTTGTTGATAATTCATTTTACTTCCAGGTTACACCAACAAAGGAATTCAGTCACTCAAGGACGGTTGTCTGCTTTTGCACTGCTGTGATTGTTGAGTGCTTGGGTGCTGTCCCTAAGCTTGACACAGATGTAGTGCAGAGGGTGTTGGGATTTGTGTTTGACTCTCTTAATCCTGCAGTGACGCGAGACCAGGAATACAAGGTTACCTCAAGTGATTTGTAACTTTTTTGGCCCCTTTTCAATGATTGAATCCGTAACCTTATATTTTCTTTTTCTTTCCCTTTTAATTTGCAACCCTCAACTGGATAGTGTGTGTACACTACTTCGTATCCCTCGTTATGAACCTTTTATTGTGCTATCTGGATTTACTTACCGTAAAGAACTATTGACATCCTGCTTTCTGAGCATAGTTATAACTGTAGTTATGTTGGATCTTTATGACCAGGCTGGCGCTCTTATGATTGTTGGAGTACTTGGAACCCGGGCGACTCTAGCGCCTAAACTTGTCCAAAATTTGATTTTCTTTGTTGCAAGGACTGCACAACATGATGCATCTGAGTCAGTTGATTTGCCATGGCTTCGTGTCTCGGTGATGGCTCTTATAAGTCTTGTTCAGGTTTGGATTCAACTTCTTGTCATACATATCCTTAGGAAGTTCTGGCTTGCTATGTAAATATATTGAACTCAATATAGGTGATGCTGAGCTAGAAGTATTGATAAATGTCTGCTAATTTTACAGTCCCAATCTGTCCATGATTTCCCTAAGAAGCCATTGATGATTTTGAAAGACATCAGGTTTACTGTTGTTTTCCCAGCATATACATTATATATTTGCTCTGTTTCTGTTTCTCCTTCTGGTGTTGAAGTGTTGAATTCCTATGGTAAACTTTTTTCAGGGATTTTTCTGGTATACTTTCTGTATTATCCAGTGAATACAACATCGAGAGATTCATTAGGCTTTATGTTGAATCATTAATTGACTACAGGTGATTTTTTGCTTATCTGATGTGATTATATTTGCATATTTCTCCCTGGCTTTGTATGAATGTTTATAACTCTTAACATATGAACAGTATTCCCGATGGTTCCTGCCACACACACCTGATTGAAACTATTGAGACTCTGCCGGTGAAGAATTTCATTGAAAGTATTGTGTGCAAGGTTCTTAGAAACTGTATCAAGCTATCTCAGGCCACAGGAAACCCAGATATCAATCACACAGGTAGCTGGAACAGCTGCTTCAATTCCATTTTAAACTTACCAAATAATTTTCTTTTCTTTTTTGTGCATACGTTTATTTTAAGCATATCGTGGTTTTCTGTACTGTATGTACTATGTAGTATTTCATATATATTGTTCATCTATTTTCCAGAATTATGGGCTAAGAAAAATTTTAGCGCACTTGAAAGAAAATATCCCCTGGAGCTACGTGATGCTATTCGTAAATTTCTTGAGGTACCAGATGACACACTTTCCACTTATGGAACTTGTCAGTTCTTATTGCCGTTGTTTGACCCTTCTTTCTCCCTGTTCTCAGAACTCTGAAACTAATTCATCAGGAGGGGATTCTATTTCTGAGGTTTTCGGCATAGTGTTTGATGAAAGCAAGAACTTGCCAACTGAAATATCCGACTCGAACATTTGGTTCAGTCTGGATCATCCAAAGGTACATATATGATATGAAACTTGGTGTAGAATTTTACTTTCCGTGGAAACTCTGGTGAATTTTATCCTATCTTAATGCCTCTAGAATGATTTCTTGCCCTTCAAATCATATTTTGGATCGTGTGTTTTCTAGTCTTTGATGCAGTGCAATTTTATATATGATGCAGGCTGCGGTTCGTCAATCTGCTCTCTCAAAAGTTGCTACATCTGGCATCTTCAATAACAGTACTCTAAATCCACAGGTAACAAATTTTGCTCTCTCGAAATGTTTGCTTTTATATGTTCATTGTTTTATTGAAGCTTTCCTCAGATGATGATCTACTGGCTTATGTTTCTAATTCTGAGTTCGTGCAGAAGTTTATCAATATGCAAGATGCTATATTATGCAGTCTGTATGACGATGATCTAAGTGTTGTCCAAGCTGCTTTATCCATAGAGGGACTAGCTGTTGTTGCCAATCCTGATAGCCTGTTAAAAGCATATGATGGCGTGCTCACCAAATGCATCAAAATCATTAACAAAGGTGGGTATTCTTCAATGTCTGCTTGTTTTTTGGCCCAATTGAATGAGCTTTTTTTTTTAAAAAAAAATTCTAGGGAAGAGGTCTGCAGAATTATTTATATTGCCTTCTACCTTTTTCTATCCATTTACATGAGATCTATAGCTAGTTTATAGTGCACTTTAAATATAAAAGCACTGGTAAAAACTAATTTATTCATGAAGGTTTTTAAATAATAGAGATCAGCATTGACAGAAAATGCATCCATTGATGTCTTCTAGCCTGGACCACCAAGCCAGATGTTTTATGCCACTTCTTTTGCTGTATATTCATTGTAGCTAAGGTTCATTAGGCTGTACGTTGGTTTAACATTTCTATGTTTGCCCTTGTTCTGAACCCTTATCTGTGATTTGATCTGAAATGTTCTATGGTACGGACGTATGGTGATATAGCACATTGGAAAGTATTTTTTTAATCACGGCTAAATGAATTTTGTTTATGATTCTCCAGGTGGTTCAAAAGCATCAAAAGCTTCTGATGTTGCTGTTTCTTGCTTGGAAAAGCTGGTAACGGAATACCAATCGCATCATATGGAACATGCCAAGGATATAGCTACATTAGTGTTTCATCTCCTTATTGTTCACCCAAAGGTTACCTAGTTATCTTCCATTATTCTATCTACCCTTTTGTACTGTCATGTGTTGATTCTAACTTTCAGTGTTGAAATGGAACACAGACCCTTAGGGTGAACTTAAAGGCCTTGGAGCTAGCTAAGAAAATACAATGGGAGTTCTACACAAGTAGTTCTCTTGTATATGATGGGGTCAATTTTGATAAAATGAAGGTGAGGTTTCTTACTGGCCAGACTAATTGTGCCTCTTGCTATGCTGTGTTGATCTTTAGTGTAAGCCTATCATCCCCCTCCCCAGCATTTGTGCATGATTGCTCTTATTCTTAATGCCCATATCTTGAACCCTTAGATATTTGAGGCTGTGCTTTTTATGATTGAAATGTCTATTTTCTTGATGTTTCGATCTATATGATCATATTTTGTTCTGTTTGTTTGTATGTAATTCTTCTACCCATTATGTTGTTACAGAACATGAGTGCAGACTCCATTGCTTCTATTAACATGAAGAACATCAAAGCTTTTGCTGAGACTTTCCTAGCTGACCCAAATAAGCATGTGGAGTGGTTGGCTAACTCTGGAAGTGGAAGTAGATTTTCTAAAACTTTGTTTCTACTCATAGTATTGCAATCACTTGTTTCCACAGAAGGTATGCCCATCTTTGCTGTTCACTTTGCTATACCATTCTGGTAGAACTTATGATGGTTGCAATAACAATTCTGTTCTAATTATTATTTATTATCATGTGCTACTAAGAGTGCTGTTATTTACTCCATGAAATCCTTAACAATTGTCAATTCTTTCTCTTGGTATAGCACCTGTCATCTAATAGTTCCTACCTCCCTTGCGCATGCATACTAAAAAAATATCTCTTGAATGATGTATAAATGCTGTATATAACAGACTCCTGTGATCCTGATATGTTGGCTTCTTTGCAAGACAACCATATAGGCTGATATTTACTTGTTCCTTTTCAGTTTTGGACGAGCAGGTGAATCTTTGCCATGCTTGTTTGCCAGTCCTGAAGGATGAATGGCATAACATACAGCCCGAAGATAGTGGTGTTGGTGATGAGGTATATTCTTTACTTTACCATTCAATGTTGAATGATATGCCAATATTGTATGGCCATAAACCTTTCTTTCTTTCTTTTTTTTTCTTTTTTTTTCTTCTTTTTTTTTTCTTTTTGCTTTGCAGATCAGCATTGACAACCTTGAGATGTGCAGTTTAGAATTGGTGAAGCATTTTTTCAACAGAGACACAGAGGCATTGAATGTTAGAATCCTTGTCTGTATATTTTGGGGTATCCTAAAGGTGCAGTCCTCCTGTTTTAAGCAGAATCCCGTGGTATGTAACTGTCAAGCAATAGCAGCTTCACCTATTCTTCTCACTTCCCTTCCGAGAATATGTCATGATGTTTGCTATATTTCTGTTATATATATCCAGGTTGGCGGTGGTGAAAACACAATGCTGGATGATTTGTTTCTCTTCTTCCTTGTATCACCTGCCAAAAATATCTTCCAGAATCACCTACAGTATCTTGTTGTTAATTGCATTGGAGCACCTTTTCAATTTATTTCGAAGTACTTTCTGGATGAAGGTTTGCTACATTGTTCTCCCCCTTAAGCAAAGCTTATTCTGTTACTCTACCAGACTAAGCATGTGGTAGATGGGTATTTTTCATTCTTAGTGTTGTGCTTTTGTCTAAACTTGATATTTTATACTTTGACTTTGTTTTTAGGGGCATAGTTTTCTATTGTTTTGCAGTCAACCAACCTATAATATGTTCTTAATAATTGTTCTATCAGGCTGTGATTTCTCCTTTTTGGGCAATTATTAGTGACGGCCCATGGTTTCCAGTGTTCCACATCCCAACAGCAAATAGTGTGTTTAGTTTTTCAAAAGATAACAATAAGATATTGCAATTATTGTATGGATTGTCAGTATCCATTAAATATGATACCAAAAAAAGTGTAGGAGTCATATAGTTGTGGATTGGCTGGATCCTTAGCGAACTAGTCTCGGCTAACCCATAACCAGTTGAGGAATCTCTTTTTCACACTATTCCTGTTTTGATGCTTCTATTTCCTAGCTGATCTAGTGTTTCCAAAAATGGTCATATGACACCCAGTGTATAAAGGTAGCCTCACTAATCAATCAATAATATTTAGAAAGGGCTTTGCCCACCAATCTGGCATCAATCAGAACCTCAAGTTACTAGGGAGAACCCTGGCAACCTGAGGGTGATCAGGCCTTATCTTGCCGTCACTATTTCGTCTGCATACCGCATGTCCACATTGCATCTACTGGTTCTATTTGGTTTTATTTACTAGTGAAAAATTAAGGATTGAACTTCTGCAAGTGCAGACAACATTACTTAACGTGTAGTATGGACACCATTTTTTTCCCTCGTGTTTTTTTAAGGGTGCTTGCAATGTAGACATGGGCTCAAGGGGACACCAGAATCATTCTATTCCTCTTGTTAAATGCCTGTGCTTTTGCAATGATTTTTTTTTTTTACATTAATATCATATTACCCAGCACCCAGGGTGTTAAGCTGTCACTCAGCCATGCTTCATGGGAGCTTACATTGCACATCTTTTACAGCGCTTGACCTACACAACACCCTTTTCTCTGCCTTTGATGACTGGCTGAGTTCCATAGTTGCAAGTGTTACACCTCCATAGCCATGCCTTGTCTTTCATTGTTGTAACCAAGTTCATTGGTGGCCGATTGCTTTTCTAATATTTTAGTGTATAATAACTCGTTATTCCTTAAGCAACTTGCCCATCCCTTTATATTCATCTTTTGTAAATTATTGATGATAATCCTGAAGTTTATGTAGATTTATCAGAAAGAGTTCAAGTGGAGAGTCTTCTTGTGCTTGCATCTATTTGTTCCAAGTGCGCTTCCTCTGAAAGTAATAGCTTGGATGAAAGCATCTGTATGCAGCTTCTACTAGGCTTTCCTTCCATTATTCCCCCACTCGCTCATGATAACAAGGTATGAATACACCCCCAATACTTTTTGTGTCTGGTAATCTGTGAGCTAGCTCCTTCTGTTGTCCTGCTTACAGCTCTTCTATCTAGATATTGAACATGTTTATTGTCTTATATGTTGTAGGATATAAGGTCATCTGCGATTAAGTGTATTGAGGGGTTATCTTTGGTGTGGCAGCGCTTGAGCACTTCAGTACCAAGAAATGGTCTGTTAGCCTTATCTTCATATTTATTTCCATGTGGACCAATTCGTTGTTGATATTTATTATCTGATCTAACATATACAGGAAACAACATCAAATTACCTCAATACTTGTCGTCACCAACTTTTGGTAGTTTCCTTGACTTGTTGGTTAACCAAAAGACCATGATCTCCTCGGACGCAAAATTTCTTCCTGCGTATATTTCATCTATGCTGAGCCCATGTAATGATATACTGGTTCCCGAGAATCTCCATGAAAGGTTGTCCTGGTTTCATTCTTCTACAGATACACTTCTCTTGTGTACTCATTATTAATTGGGGTGTAACACTCTCTTTTGTTTCTCTTATCAGATTCGACCAGCATACAAAGGATACTATTCTTACTTTCATCTTGCGCTCTGCTTTGAAGCTCCCTCCTTATGGAAAGGTTGGTTGATCTGCAATCTCGAGTCAAATCACTAAGTCTAGCCTACTAACACACTCCCACACATTGTAATTCATTCACTTAACCCCAATCACTACCACAGAAGCAAATGCATATGCATGGGCACCTATTTTTTGATGGTGGTTGATATTTTGAAACATGTTGCAGTTTATGGTTCTGTCAGTCCTGAAAGGAGTAGGAAGCATCTTATTTCATGCAGAAGATGTGAAGTCTCTGTTCTTTGATCTTCTGGACCGTCGTGATCAGTATCAGAATCGACATAATTGCAATCAGATCCTATCCACCCATGAAATGCATACCTTATGCTTGCTTTTGGAGGTAAACATGTCATCATGATTTGTATATATATGTCCATGGATGATAGTATATATGTCGTCAAGTAGAATAGCCATTATGCATATTTACTGCCGCTGTGTTTTTTGTAGGTTTTGATCTCAATGCCAGATCATGCAAATATTGGTTTTAACATGTTCAAACCTCTGATGAAAGCTTTAAAGGTGAGCAAAACCTTCTGTTAACTACAGATATCAAAATTACCTTCTGGACTCAACTAACTGTATAGAACTTTAGGTTGATGCTCCGTCTCCAGGTGATCCTGTTGTTGTGATGCCATGTCTTACTGTCCTGCAGAATCTTCAACCAGGGTTCTTTGATAATTTAAAGACCGATACTAAGGTTCTTTTCTTGCATTATATCATCCCACATTACATTTTCTTTATTTTAGAACTGCTTGTTTGGTGCCATTTCAATTATCTGCACATCTTACACAGGAAAAAATTTGGAGTCCTTTTTTTTACCGTCTAGGAATTTTTCTTGTATATGCAACTAAATTGTTCTGCATACAGTAATTTGCCATTGCATAATTTACTGAACCAAAGCAGCATATAATATATTTTTGGCAATGCTAAAGGTTATATTTGTAGCAAATGATATTGCTTGTCTTGCGTATCCAATTATGTTAACCCAATAAAAAAATTGTTGGATGTGCAATTGTGCATCATGTCTTAGTATATCACAATGCCATTTTTATATGACTGGTGTACCATGAGCCTATGAAATTTGAGTGCAATTATGCTAATGGGTAATCGTCACTTTTCCTGAATTTCTTTTGAATTTGCCACCATTCCTAGTTTTTTGTGTTCTATACTGTATAACTAGCTAGGTCTCATTTTGTCACATGTTTGGTTCTGATATTATTTATACTTTTGGACATAATTTGATCTTAAATGTTATAATTTCTGACATGTATGTGATCATAAATGAGGTTACTTTGGCATATGTTTGTACCTGTCGAGATTACCATTTCTGCCTGATATATGATTTTTTTTTTGTTTGGAAACTAGTAGATCAGGTTAGGTAAACATGAACCTTTTAACTATGCTTATTTAGGTAACATGCTTTTGCAGGAAAAAGTTGTTGGACGCCTTATTTCCTTGGTTCGAACTGAGAGTTTCAAAGTTCGAAATGCCGCACGGGATGCTTTACTGCGTATTAATGTTTGTATCTATACCCTTTTCTTTATTTTTACATTTTCCAGAAGACCAATACATCTGTTCTGTTGCTTAAGTTTTTCTTTTGTGTCCTGGAATTTATTATCCCTGTATTTGATGTTTACTGTTATATACCCTTTTTACATTTTTTGCTTATGGCAGGTTCATTCTTCCACTTTGGTCAAGTTTATTGAATTAATTTTAGCACTTGATGGCGCAAGAAGACATTCAAAAAAGATAAAGAGAAATGAAGATCAGAATCTTGACGTGTTTTGCAGTTTTGAGGAGATATTTGGAGAAAACTCTGTAGCTTCTATTCTTGTTTCTCTTCTAGATATCTTGTTTCTTAAGAAAGATGTGAAGCAAAGGTCTGGAACTACAGAACTATTTTTGTGTAGTACCCTATGTTGTCTACGACTGACATGTCACCCTCATGCAGGTCGTGTTTATTGCAACCTCTTTTCCAGATTCTATCGAAGCTCCTTTCTGATCAATGGGTCTCAGTAATTGTTAGTCAGTATAACAACCAACAAGATACCTCATCTGAAATCCCTGATTTATCCAGTTTTGTAAAAGAAGTTCAACACTTGACACTGCTGTCCCTCAAAGATATTACAGATACACTACAATCGGGTCACCATGTACTTGCTTTTGTTATTTTCATTTGATCACTCCAGTTGTTCTTTTGAGGTTCCTTTATTTGTTTGGATTTATGGATTACATATCTTCCTGCAGGATGCAATGTTCAGCAGCTCCAATGTAGGTCTTCTTATTGATTGTGTACGGTCCATCAGCGATGTAGGAACTCGGAATCATGGCTTTTCCTTGATAGCTTCTTTGGGAAAGGCTTGCCCACAACTGGTGTCAGAAAATATTGTTGATTTGTTTGTCGCTATTGGGGATGCTATTAAACAGGTCTGTTTAAATTTTCTGGGGGCACATATGATCTTTCTGCAGTCCATTATTGACAGACCTTCATTTCAGAATGGAGTTTCTTTTTAAATTCTTTCTTATTCTAGGAGACTTCTTTCTGTGTGTTGATTTATACTACCACAATCATAATCTTTGCCAGTGTTTACTTTGATTTTGAAATAGATCCACTTTTAATGTATTTTCTCATTTGTTTGTGAAAGTAATGCTACACAGATCCTTTTGGTTTCCTAGTAACACCTTTTTTTCCCCTTCTGTCTGATATTTGCAGGATGACAGCCACTCACAACGTGTTTTGGAGGATTTATTATCTGTCTTAGTCCCATGTTGGTTGTCAAGGACCACAAGTATAGAAAAGCTTCTTCAGGTTCTCTATAGTTTTCCTTGAAGTTCCTTTCTGTTTTTCATTTTCTTGAACAGCAATGCATTAAAAGGTTGTGCACTGTTGCTGTTGCAGATATTCATTAAAGCTTTAGCAGATGTGCCTGAACATAGGCGATTGACGCTCATGGTTTACCTCTTAAGGTAGTTTTCTATCCCTAGTTCATTAACATTCTCTTATTTCTTGCTCACTCTATCCCAAAAAGAATTGCATTCTAGTTTTATGCTCAGTTAAACTATCTTAGGTTTGACTAAGTTTATACAAAGAATACCAATATTCATATTACTAAGTGTCATTAGATTCATCATGAAATGTAGTTTCATGCTGTACTTATTTGGTGTCGTAAATGTTAATAATCTTCTATATAAACTTGGTCAAACATAAAATAGTTTTGACATAAGACAAACTGACAAAGCTAAAGTGTGATTCTTTTTGGGACGGAGGTAGCATATGGCTAACTAGCTAAATTTATTATACTATTTTCAGGACCTTGGGGAAGGAAAATAGTTTGAGTACTGTGATCATGCATCTATTACACTCGTTGGTTGAGCGGATTTTGCACTCTTTTTCTGAACATCATGGGAGCGATTATAGATTGGCTATGTCACAGGAGTGGGAGTATGGATTGGCAGTAAATGTGACCGACCAATTTTCCTATAAATTATGGTTTCCTTGTTTGAGTAAGCTACTAAAAGACATCAGGGTCCATGAGAAGCAAGATCTACATCTTATGCTACATTTGGCAATGAGGCTTATTCTATTTAAGTTACAAGATACAGAATTGATTTTTGAACTTGAATCTGAGGAAGCTGCTAATTTTATCCAGGTAGCTCATTTGGTTTAACTGTTGCTCTATTAACGTTTTTCTCTATGCTATGTTCTATTTTGCTCTGAGTCTAATTAGTATTTTTTTTTGTCATTCATTTACTGGCCAGTTAACAGTGAACTCCAGAAATTGTTTAGTCTTTATTTTTATGTGCCGTCTTCTTTTGCTCTTGTAGGGTTCTCTTGGGGCACTTATGGAGGAAGTTGTCTTGTGTGGTGTGTATGCCAGAGATAAAACAAGAGATGTTTCTAGTGACATTACTAAAGAAGTCAGAGATTTTGCAAATACAATACTCAAAACTGTTACAGGATGGATGAGTGCTTCAACATATTTGACAGGAATTACTCGGCTGTTGGATCATTCAGATAGTCATGTGAAAAGAAAGGTACTTGTTGGTTAGCAGATTTTTTGTTCTATTGGTTATGTTGTAATTTTCACTAATTGATTTCCTTGGAAGCTACCTTTTTTCCAATGTGATCGCAATTGATTTGTACTTCTCTACAGACACTTGGGATGTTGTCTGAAACGGCCAGAGGAAACAGTTTGGTCCAGAAAAATCAAAGGAAAGCACGAAAACTGAAACATATATCTGGTACTACTGCTATCAAAGTAGACAAGAGCTCTGGTCCTTATTTCAGCAAATTGTGCTTAAAGATTCTGGAGTTGATTGACAGAGATGGTGATTCGGACACTAAAGTGAAAATTGCTGCTATTTCTTCGCTTGAAACACTAGCCAAAGAATATCCCTCTGATAATCCTGTTTATAGCAACTGCCTTGCAACAATCATTGATCAAATTGGCTCTGATGAGGCAGCTGTGTCTTCTGCTTTAATTCATACTGTGGGCTCTCTGATAAATGTGATTGGATCAAAAGCATTACCACAACTCCCATTAATCATGAAAAATATAATGCTAATATCACATCAAATTTCATGTTGCCCTAGTGGAAATTATGCTCATGGTTCCACTAGAACTGCCGCTGAACTTTCAAACCAAGACATAGCTGTGCTGCTGTCAGCACTGACAACAATTGAGGTGATTGTGGAAAAGCTAGGTGAATTTGTTAATCCATATCTGAAGGAAATACTTGATCTGGTAGTACTGCATCCTGAATGTAGCACTCAAATGCATCCCAAATTAGATGCAAAAGCAGCACGTGTTCGAGAGTTACTGACTGTAAAAGTTCCAGTATGTTCCATCTAAATTTATTCAGTTCTTTTCTTTTGTCATATGATGAAACATAAATGTGCCTATTTTTCCTTGGATCTCATCAAGTTATTGGCTGCAGGTCCGACTTATCCTCTCACCTTTACTTAATCTGTACTCCCTTGCTGCAAATTGTGGAGATGCAAGTCTTTCGTTGGCATTCAATATGCTTGCTAGTCTAGTTGGTACAATGGACCGGCTGGCTGTAGGAACTTACCATTCGAAAATATATGAACATTGTTTAGCAGCTCTTGATCTCCGTCGCGAACACCCTGACTCTTTGAAGAATATAAATATGGTGGAGCAAAGTATTATTCATGCCATAATCTCTCTCACCATGAAGCTTACAGAGGGCACTTTTAGGCCACTTTTTGTTCGCACTTTGGAATGGGCTGAGTCTGAAGTTGATGAGTCCTCATTAAAGAAAAGTTTGGACCGTGCAATTGTTTTCTACAAATTGGTTAACAAACTTGCTGAAAAACACAGGTACCTTCATAACTGCATCAGATACTGTATCCTAAGTTGATTTCACCTTTCTTTAACTCAGTATTGACGCTATTGGTCTGTTGTATTAAGCTCATCATTATTAACAACCCCAACTAAAGCATGCTTTTGTCAGCTACCAGCTTCCATATATTTTCTGTCCCTTGATTATTTAGTTTGTCTGTGAAGGTCCCTGTTCACACCTTACTTCAAGTATCTACTTGAGGGATCTATACAGTATCTCTCTGAAGATGATTCTTTGGCTGGTTCAAAGCAAAAGAAGAAGAAGAAGAAGACCAAACTTGAAGATGTTCAAGTTGAACAGAAAGATAAATTATTGGGGTTAAAACTGTGGAATTTAAGAGCTCTAGTTTTGAAATCCTTACACAAATGTTTCCTCTATGATAATGACCAGAAGATCCTTGATTCCTCTAATTTCCAGGTTAGTTGGTTCATAGTACAAGTGTTTCCTTTTTTGTTGTTGGCATGCTTTTGCAAGTCACAGAAAAAAAAAGTGCATGGCTGTGACCTTTCATGTTCTGTTACCATTCTTTGTTCCTATGATATTAATACCATCTGCGGTCTGCCTTCAACCCATGCAGTTTTTCCCAGTGATATCTTTGTATTTTAATATATTTTTGGTGTTTGCAGGTTCTTTTGAAACCTATTGTCTCCCAGTTTGTTGTGGAACCACCAGAATCTATTGAATCAATTCTTGATGCTCCATCAATTGAAGAAGTAGATGAAACTATAATTTTGTGCTTGGGCCAAATGGCAGTCACTGCACGGTCAGATGTTCTTTGGAAGCCTCTTAACCATGAGGTGGGAATCTCTTAATGTTTTCAGTTTTTTTTTTGCCAAATAACCATGTGCAAAACCGTGGTTTAGAAAAAAAGAGGTCTAGGGTGGAGTATTTAAAACTCCAAAAAGACTACAGTTTCAGCAATCCATCGTATTCAAAACCATAAAGTTTGTTGCACCCACACACTTCATGGTACTCGAAAACCTAAGTATTTCACAAAACCATGGTATTTTTCTAAAACTCCAAAAAAACTTTGTATCCAAACAGGGCCTTAGTGATATACCTGCACTAACTAAAGTAATTTCCTAGCTCACAGGATTTAGGTTACCCTAATAAAATAATAATATAAAGAAATAGTAAAGACTAAAGACTATGAACAAGAGTGTGTACAGGATTTATTGTTCACTCCCTCAGTCTTACAATTTTCTCATAAAATTGCAGGTGCTGATGCAGACTAGGAGTGATAAAGTTCGCCCCAAAATGCTGGGCCTGAAGGTTATCAGGTACATGGTCCAACATCTGAAGGAGGAGTACGTCGTTCTCGTACCAGAGACCATCCCGTTCCTGGGTGAATTGCTCGAGGATGTGGAGCTTCCTGTCAAGACACTGTCGCAGGAGATCTTGAAAGAGATGGAAACCCTCAGCGGCGAAAGCCTCCGGCAGTACCTGTGAGCCTGTGAGGCCTCAGCTCCTCGCAATAGTACCGTCTGGTTGATGAACTGTAGTACATCTGCTCATTTCCTGTAGAACAACAGCTCAACAGGTCACCGTATTTGTCTGATGCCTGGAAACTTAAATCACATGTGTCTTCATGCAAGACAAGTGCAATTAACCAAACCTTATCAATATCTATCTATATCTATACCTAATAATAAAGAGGTAAAATTTCTCTCTACCTATTTTTTTTGTCCGGTCATCCCTTAACTAACTTTGTAAATGTGGAAAATCACCTATAGGCCTTTTCTTTAATAACTAGGAATCCTAATCTAATTAGATCTCTCTGATTTCGGGTGAATAGGAATCTTAATCTAAATAGGAAAATATAATAATATGGATAATTAGGAATCTTAATCTAAATAGATCTCTCCAACTCTGAGTAAACCAAATAAAATTTTTAATTCAAATGCAAAAATATAAGAATAGAAATCTAAGAGCAACTTTAAGAGATTATCCAAAAATAGATTTCAATATGCATGATTTAGTCATCTTCTAAAATAAAATTTCCTCAAGCCGTGGTAAATTTCCTATTTTCATAGTTAAAATAAAACTTGCCAGGCGAGATAGCTGATAGCAAGCGCCCCAGGCTTGCTTTTCTAGATAGCGGGAAAGATGGGACCGGGTATTTTGGAAACCGAGGTAACATATCTATTGGAGACTATTTTATATCATAAATTGTCTAAAATGGGTTCAAAATAAAAAATAGCATCTCTTTTGGAGTTGCTCAATAAAGAGGAAAGAAGGGTAGAATTTCTTTGTTTTGTTTTTTTTGTTCTTTTTTCACTTTTTCTGGTTTATCCGTTTTAATTTGCTTCGAGTATGTGTTGCTTTACGTTCATTTGAACGCTTTTCACTTGGCTTCAAATATGTTTTGATTTTTTTTTCGTGGCTATTTTCTAGAGTATATTCTAATTTTTGTCATGACTGTTTTGTACTTGGCTTCGAGTATGCTCATATTTTTTTGTTCTCGTGGATGTTTTTGACACTAACTCGACTTTTCTGATTTTGTTTTCATTGTTTTCTTCACCTGGTTTTTTCGCGTTCTAATAAATATAATAAGAGTAAAAACAAACAATAAATAAGGGATCAAAGCCATTTTAATCTTTGACAAATAAAGATTTTTATCACTAAGTTAATTTAATTTTTGACTCCAACTTATGACCCGTGCTAAAACTCACTACGTATTGGATCTCATTGCAAAGTACGGACATGTTTGCTAGTATATTTCAAAAAGTCAAAAGCACCCACATTATGTTCTTGGATGGGCTTCTATCTACTTATGTAGAAAGTATACTTTTTCGATACAACGCTTGCTGCTCCAAATGCTCTAATACAATGTCGGCCGGCGGGCTCTTGCCCAAGTCCGCGGTGGCGGTGGGGCCAGGTCGCCCGTGCCTGCGCGCCCGTTGGCGGCCAGGGTGGCTGTGGCGGTGGCCTGTCAGACCTGCTTGTCCGTCTGTCAGACCTGCTCGTCCGCTCCTCCTCTTAATTTTTAACCATTAATTAAATCTTGTGAGATGGATGGCTCTCATTATTGGTAATGGTGATTTTGTGAGCTGGACCTGTGTGCTGCAGCCCGGGCCCTCCGCCCCTACCCACAAGGCCACAGCGATGTGTCTTCGTCTCGGTCTTGGTCGTCGGTCGTCGCAGCTGCAGGATTGTGCAATGCAAAGCGTCTTCGTCTCGGTCTTGGTCACGCACTCACGCTATCGTCGGTCGTGAGTCGTCGCAGCTGCAGGGTGTGCAATGCAAAGCCACTTGTTCGCTTAGCCCGTGTTTAGTTTCCAGGCTAAATTCCAAAAAGCTTACTGGTATCCATTCATTGAATCTTTGCGATCGTGTATGAAAGATTAAATATAGACGAAAAAAAACTAATTGCACAGTTTGGTTGGAAATCGCGAGATGAACAGTAACCCAAATTCCAAAATTCACCAAACTAAACACGCTGTTAGTGAACATATGCTCGTTAGTGAACATATGCTGTTCAACCTTTCAAAAAAAACATATGCTGTTCAGACTCTGTGCGGTCTGTCTATCTGTCTATATCTATATATAAGGATAGTGAGGGAACGGGCAGACCATCACCAATAATTCACCGTAGAGAAAGAAACAAAGCTCTTAGCCCACGACATTGGCAATCAACATTCCAACATGTCGTCCACCTCCGGCCACCACCGCAAGCCACCACCACCGCAGCTGCTACTAGTGTTTCTCGTTCACGTATTCCTCGGAATCCAGCTCTCCTATTCTCTTACCACCTATAGCAGCAACCAAACTTCCCTACCAGTTCGTTGCCGGCCGGACCAGGCGTCGGCGTTGCTCCGGCTGAAGAGTTCCTTCTCCACCGACGGCTGGGGTCCCTTTGATAGGGAGGACGTGTGCACCGCCCTTGCATCGTGGCAGGCGGACACGGACTGCTGTGGCTGGGAGGGTATTCACTGCGGCCATCATGCCGACGGCCGCGTGACCACCCTCGACCTGGGTCATTGCGGGTTAGAGAGTGGCACCCTGCACCCCGCACTTTTCGATCTAACCTCCCTCAGACATCTGGACCTTTCCTGGAACAGCTTCAACGGCTCACAACTCCGTGCCGATGGGTTTGAACGACTCACTGAGCTTGTTCATCTCAACCTCTCTTCATGTGGATTTGATGGCCAAATACCACATGCAATAGGACAGCTCACCAAGTTGGTAACCCTAGACCTCTCTACTGAAATGTATCTTTTTGAAGAATATGATGATGTTTTGTCCCTTGCTTCCTGGTCACGTGAGTGGCAGCTGGTAGAGCCAAACATCTCATCATTCGTTGCTAATCTTAGTCATCTCAAAGAGCTTTACCTAGGCGGAGTCGATTTGTCCGACAATGGAGCAAGCTGGTGTAGTGCCTTTTCTAATTCCACCATCTCTCAACTCCAGGTTCTTAGCTTACCATCTACCGGCCTCAAAAGTCCCATCTGTGAATCAGTGTCCACTATACATCACTCACTGAGGTCAACCTACAGTATAACGAGTTATACGGCCGAATTCCGGAGTCCTTTGCTGATTTACATTCGCTTAGTGTTCTTAGACTTACCTATAACTTTCTTGATGGATGGCTCCCCTCAAGGATCTTCCAAAACAAAAACTTAACAGCTATTGATGTCAGGTATAATTTCAAGTTATCCGGGTCATTGCCAAATTTCTCATCAGACAGTATTATCGTGGATCTGCTTGTCACTGGAACTAACTTCTCTGGTCCTGTTCCGAGTTCCATAAGCAATCTCAGATCCTTGAACAACTTGGGTATTGCATCAACTTATTTTTCCCAGGAGCTTCCATCGTCAATCGGTGAGCTAAGATCATTAAGCTCGTTACAGGTATCTGGGACTGGTATGGTAGGGGCAATACCATCTTGGATTGCAAACTTAACTTCTTTAATAGAGCTCCAATTCTCGGACTGCAGCTTATCTGGAGAAGTACCTTCTTCCATAGGTAATCTCAAGAACCTATATAGTTTAAAATTATACAATTCCAATTTTTCTGGCACACTACCTCCACAAATGTTTAACCTAACTCAGCTGGAACTCCTGTATCTTGATTCAAACAACTTCCATGGTATAGTGGAACTCAGCTCATTCTTGAAAATACCCCAACTGTTTGGTTTGAGCCTGTCAAACAACAAATTTACTGTAGTAGTAGACGACGATGGCAATTCTTCAGTCACCAATCGATTGCATGCTTTGCGCCTAGCAGCATGTAACATATCCAAGCTCCCTAGTGTCTTGAGGCATTTGCATTCTGTTCAATATCTTGATCTTTCAAACAATCAAATCCATGGCACAATACCTCACTGGGCATGGGAAACTTGGAAAAGCTTGGTAGTTCTGAACTTATCGCACAACAAATTCAACAGCATAGGATATGACTCTATTAATCCAATTGATATAGACGTTATTGTCCTTAGTTTTAACCTATTCCAAGGGCCCATACCTATACCAGGACCCTCTACTGAGGTGCTTGATTGCTCGAACAACAAGTTCTCATCCATCCCACTTAATTTCGGATCTCACTTTGTATCTTTCAACTATTTTAATGCCTATGCAAACAACCTCTCTGGAAATATCCCACCATCGATATGTGGAGGTGGAACATGGACTATGGACCTTATTGATCTCTCCTACAACAATCTTAGTGGTTCCATTCCATCATGTTTAATGGAGGGTACTAGTGTGACTTTATTAAAGCTGAAAAGAAATCGCTTACAAGGAGAATTACCAAATAATATGAATCAAGATTGTTCATTTGAGGCATTAGATCTTAGTTACAATCAGATCAAAGGAAAATTACCAAGATCCCTAGTTTCTTGCAGAGGCTTGGAGGTCTTTGACATTGGGAATAATCATATCAATGATATCTTTCCATGTTGGCTGAGTGTGCTTCCTGAACTTCAAGTGCTTGTTTTGAAGGCCAACAAGTTTGCAGGGGAGGTGGGGCCTTATACTGCAGGAGAAAAGAACAATTGTGAGTTTATAAAACTCCGAATTCTTGACTTGGCTTCAAACAAATTCTCTGGCACTTTACAAGATGAGTGGTTTATGACCATGAAATCCATGGTAAGCATATCTGTCAATGAGAGTCTGGATAATCATGTGAGTCAACTTGGGCAAACATATCAGTTTACCGATGCAATCACATACAAAGGGAATGAAGAAGTCACAATTTCCAAAACTTTGAGCACCCTTGTACACATTGATGTTTCGGATAACTTGTTCCATGGTGCAATCTCAAAGTCAATTGGTGATCTTGGTCTACTAAATGGTGTAAACATGTCACACAATGCCTTCACTGGCCCAATCCCACCTCAGTTTGGTGCTCTGAATCAACTCGAGTCATTGGATCTCTCTTCAAATAATCTGTCGGGGGAGATTCCACAGGGATTAGCATCACTGAACTTCCTCTCAATGTTGAACCTGTCCTACAACGAGCTGGTGGGGAGAATACCAGATTCACCTCATTTCTTGACATTTACCAACCTCTCGTTCCTGGGCAACATTGGCCTGTGTGGGTTTCAGGTGTCCAGAGCATGCAACAACACAACACCATATGTGGAGCCACATCATTCAGAGACGAAATCAGTCGACCTTGTGTTGTTCCTTTTTACCGGACTGGGATTTGGCGTCGGATTCGCAATTGCAGTTGTCCTGACTTGTGGAATCCATGTTAGGAGGAGATCCCAGAACCACATATTTCTGTGCTGCAAGAAAGTTCTCTTCTTCATGTAGATGGCCTGCGAATGCAAATAGAAATGCCTCTGCATTAGTGAGTATATTGCTATGTTTGTATCATCAATAGTGCTGTACTGCTTGCGCAAAAAAATAATAATAATGTTGTTGTACTGAATGTTTGAACCTTGTAAGTGTAAAAGACGAAGAGCGCAGGATGACTATAGCCTGTTCAATTCACCATACACCATATATTCATACCCCATTTTCAGGTATTATTTTGGCTGCATTTATCCAGAGCACGTATATATATGAGTTAACAAACGCATGTCATGGTTAGATGGTGCCCTCGCGCTGTCGCCTGTCGGTGAACTTGGCACCGGGCGAGCTCAGCACGGGCCGCAGGGGCGCTGGGCGTGGGGGGCGCCGGCCGTGGGCGCGTCGGGTCGCAGTGGGCGCAGGGGGGCCCGGCCGGGTTGCCCCTTCTGTATGGCCTGCCATGGCCATGGTCGGGGCTCGAACTTGTATAGTCGACAGCGAGGAAGACACGGGATGAGCGCAGCAGGTCAACCGGAGGTGCGGCGGCGGGCCGGTGTCGACGCCGCGCGATGCGGCGGCGCCGGGGGAATTGGAGACAGGTAAGACGAGAGCCCGCCGGTCAGGCTGTCGGCTTAGGAAGAGTGATTAGGTTATGCGTTTTAGAGAGTAGTTGGCTGATCTCTCTTCTTCCTTCCCTTCCCACTACTTCTACTGCTCACTGCTCGGCTTGGGCTCGCAAATGTTATAGACCCATTCTGGGTCGGTTACTCTCTTGTTCTTGGGCCTACTGCGAGAACTCCTCTTGGGCTCGGTGTTGACTGGGTGCGGCGTCGTGACACCCCCCTCCCCTTGCGACCCGGCATGTCCCCAGTCGAGAAAACGGAAAAGCTGACTTGTATGGCCTCTGCATCTTCCCAGGTGGCGAGTTCCGCATCCAGGCGGACCACTTGATCGGGGAATTGAACAACCGCACTTTGTGGCGTGTGGGGATGAGACAATGACTGCAATGACTCGCCTCGAGGAACTTGCAAGCCTTCGCCAACTCTGGTGGATCCACCGAGATAGTATACTTGATCGACGGGCGACCTTGAGTAGAGAGACGTGGAATCTGGATGAGCAGAGCGGCGACTCCGCAGAGGTCTAGCTTGGCGACATCTCCAATCTTCTCCAAAAGACCTTGTATGGCCCAAAGTAAGCGGAAGGAGAGCTTACGATGGGCACGAGGAGCAAGTGACGCTGGGCGTAGGGTTGGAGCTTGAGGAACACCATGTCGCCGATGTTGAAGGATCTCTCGATCGGTGCTTGTCGACATACAACTTCATGCGATGTTGGGCTCGGAGAAGATGTTGGCGAACCAGATCAAGCATAGTGGGCACGCTCGATAGTATAGTTTCAACATCGGTACAAATGATGCTTGGTGGTGAAAGGTGAAGTGGCGAGGAGGGTGTCCGAACGATTACCTCGAATGGCGACCTATTGAGTGAAGAATGGAGGCAGTGTTATACCAATACTCGCCAAGGTCGAGCCATCGCAACCTTCGCTTAAAGGTGGACAAAGCACCTAGGAGAAATGCTTCGAGGCATTGGTTCACCCGCTCCGTCCTGCCATCGGATTGAGGGTGGTGGGAGAGCTCATGCATAACAGTACCCATTAAATGTAACGGCTCCTTCCGAAATGGCGGTGAAGATGCGGTCACGGTCGGAGATGATGTGGGTTGGCATGCCATGTAAGCGGCAAATATTGTCAAGGAAGACTGAGCCACTTGTTGAGCGGTGAATGGGTGAAGTAGAGGCACGAAGTGGGCAAATTTGCTGAATTTGTCGATTTACGACCATGACGCAATTAGGCGCACCAGAAGCGGGGAGCCCCTCGATGAAATCCATCGAGATGACTTGCCACGACTCGAGGGTACAGGCGGCCATGCGAAAGGAGTCCCAAGTACTTGGCATGATCGGGCTTGGCACCGCAAGCAGATGGTACAAGAAGCAACAAGTTGTTTGATGTCGATTTCATACCCCTCAAGCTTAACAACTTCTTGATTTGGGCGTGAGTAATGTGGAACCCAGAGTGGCCACCGATAGCGCTGGAATGTAATGCTTCAAAAATTCTCAGCTGGAGGGTCTTGTTGTCACCCACCCAAATGCGATCTCCAACGTGAATAATACCATTGATCAGAGTATAAGGAGGGTGGATATCACGGTTAAGTGCGAGTTCTGCAAAGAACTTGCGAGAGGTTGGATCGAGAATCATATCCAGCAACCACATCTGACAACCATGTCGGTGATGAAGAAGAGATGGCATTGAGCTGTTCCGGAGGCAAAGGGTGCCGTGAGAGAGCATCAGCTACCCAATTGGAAGACCCTGGTTTATAGACAACCTTAAACTGCAACCCAACGAGCTTGGTGTAAAGCTTCATCTGCCACGGAGTCTGTAGGTGCTGCTCAGTAATATGCATCAGGCTCTTTTGGTCAGTGAAAATAGTGAACTCGTCGTGTTGTAAGTAGGATCTCCAATGCTCCACTGCCACAAGAATAGCCAAGTATTCTTTCTTGTAAGTAGATAAGCCACGCGAACGAGGGCCAAGCGACTTACTAACAAAGGCCAATGGGTGACCATCTTGAAGGAGGACTGCGTTGATGCCGACATCACTTACGTTAGTCTATAACTGGAAAGGCTTGGAGAAATCGGGCAGGGCCAAAACTAGGGCTTCAGTGAGAGCCTGCTTCAGTGTTTCAAAGGCTACAATATGGTTGGTAGTCCAAACAAAGAGCACGCCCTTCTTGAGCAGATCAATCAAGGGCCTGGCAATCACAGTGTAGTGCTTAACAAACTTCCGGTAATAACCTGTGAGTCCAAGGAAGCTGCGGAGCTGCTTGACATCAGTTGGTTGCGGCCAGGCTTGCACAGCGGCAACCTTTGATGGATCTATGGAGACTCCCTGCGCACTGACGACATGACCCAAGTAGTTGATAGATTGCTGAGCAAAGCAGCATTTGGAGAACTTAACCAGCCACTGGTCTTTGGAAAGCAATTCAAAAACTTGTGCCAGGTGCTTAACATGGTCTTCATAAGAGGCGTTGTACACAAGGATGTCGTTGAAAAACACCAAGGCACACTTGAAAAGGAGTGGATATAATGTATTGTTCATAGCACCTTGGAATGAACTTGGGGCGCCTGTTAACCTGAAGGACATGATGGTATACTCGAACTAGCCCCAGTGTGTTTGGAAGGCAGTCTTATGTTCTTCCTTAGGAGCAAGGCGAATCTAGTTGAAACCTACCCGTAGATCCAAACAAGAGAACCAACTGGCCCAGAGAGTTCATCCAAAAGTTCATCGATGATCGGAATGGGAAACTTGCTCTTCACAGTGAGTGCGTTGAGTTGGCGGTAATCGGCCTTAAAAGCGCCCGGTGTTGTCCTTTTTTCTAACCAAGAGAACTAGAGAAAGAAAGGTTTTGGTACTAGGGCGAATGAAACGGACTACAACATCTCTCGTCACCCGAGCCTCAATCTCGGTCTTCAAAGCCACGGCGTGGCGAAAAGGACGGGTAGAAATAGGTGAGCACACCGGAATGAGGGGAATGGAGTGATCATAGGCCCGACACGGAGGCTATTTCGGTTGACAACCTGAATAAGTGTTGATCTTTGAGACAACGGCGCTGAATCTCTAGCGAGATCACTGCAGATTGATGAAGTCAATTCATCCCTTCGGTGGACAGATGATGGAGTGAACTACCGAACAATCAAGTAGCTCCGATAGATCGCGCCTTGTAACACCACATTGTTGGGCCCATAAGGAATTTGAACCCAACATTGAAGCCAATGAACTTTCATGGGTGAGAATGCCTATAACCAATCCATACCCAGAATCATGTCATATGTGCCAATGGGAATGAACTTGAGGGTAGAATGGAAAACATATCCTTGAATAGACCACTCTGCATCATGGAATTTGAGCAAAAGACAAGGTCTTGAGCCGCCATCGGCAATCTTGATGGTTGGAATCGACAAGCTGCTGGACCCCATTCGAGAAAGCGCCCATTTGGTATCCAAAAAATGAGTCGGTGCTCCTGAATCTAACAAGATGTTGATCGCTTGCCTTGGAGCAAGCCTTGAAATTGTAGAGTTACAGGGTGGAATGATGAAGAAACAACTTGACAGAAGACATGAGCATGAAGGAGTGATCTGCGATAGTAATGGAGTCTCGGCTCTAAACTTTACATCTCGGTGAACAACTCTTCACAAAGATCCCACCTCTGTAATGCATGTAATTGGAGGGCCGAAGAGCATTTGTGGCCACAAGTGCCATTTCTCCCATAGCGCATACAGAGGCCACAGGCTTTCTGTAAGAGCAGAGGGATCGCAACTTGTGGTCAATCGACCATGACAAAAGTCGGGGACGACGGTCTTTAGGATGGTGCTTCGGTTCCGATGGCATGGGAGGAGCTAGAAGAGCGATTCTTTGGGGTGGCGCAGAAGCAATGGCCCCGAGGCGCAACCGACTTGAGAATGCGGGAGCATCGATGACTTGAACTCCTTCGCGTGTCGGCTCAATGGCCTCCTCCTACAAAAGTGCAGCGAACAAGATCGAGATCGTTGGACGTCGAACAAGAAATAACAGAGCGGATATCGTCGCGGAGGCCATCGATGAAGCGTGTGGTGTAGGAGAGTATACCGGGTTAGGTGTGTATCGCGAGAGCTGCTCAATAAGGTCAACAAATTGATCGACGTATTCTTGAACCGACGCGGTTTGCTTGATGTGGAATAGTTGGCGGATGAAGTTCGTGTTGATCGCGGTAGAATCGCTCGCGCACCATTGCCGCGAAGTTACGCCAACCAATGTGTTCAAGGCGGTGTGCAATGGATTGAATCCGGTAATTGCATTGCCGGTGAATTGCATTGTAGCAACTCGAACCACATGGATTGATCAACAAAGTACATATCAAAGTAGGAATGGGCTGAGTGATCCACGGTTGGGGAGTGGTACCATCGAATTAGGGGAAATGATTTTGGGTAATTGGCCAAGGTGGGAGGATTGGGGTTGGATTTGGGTAGGATCTGGTGGTGGGGAATGAAGGTGGGCATCTGTGACGTTGAAGGTAGGGTTGGGAGTGGGAGGAGGACAGGGATGTGGAACGGGTTGAGGAGGAGGATCGGGGAATCGGCACGTACCATTGGCCGGGGTCGGAGCTATGGTTGTGACCAACCCATAGCCCTCTCCCGTGTAGTTGATTCGACGCGGTGCCCGCTGGGCTAGTCAGTCGGTGTCCCGGTAGATGAGCTCGCGGTGACCAACTCCGGCTACCTCAGGGTGCCCGATGTGGGCAGCTCTACCACAGCGCGACCTCCACTCGACCGGAGATTCTTCACCTCCAAGCAAAGATCGTCGATGACTTGATGCGTTGGTCCACAGCCTCGTCCCGCTCCGGGCGGCAATTGACGACCTCCTCCACAGCGGTCTCGACGGTGACCACCCTGTCGTCGCGCTCGTCGTTGATCTCGTGGATGCGAATCAGCTCAAGATCCACCATCCGCTGCTTTCGAGGTTGGAGACTCGCTCATCAAGTGGCCCCCGGTTGTCGGTGACGACGGGCGGTGGTATCTTGTCAGAAGGCGTACTCCTCCAATGACTTGATGCGTTGGTCCTGACCTCGCCCCGCTCCTAGAGCTCGAAAAGTCGCCTCCTCGGCGGCGCTCCCATCGACCATTGGAATCGGTGCGGAGGTCATCGATCCGCTTGAGGACTTCGTCGAAGAGAGAGCGCACGTTGGGATCCATGACTCCCCTGGCTAACAAGACGGGTGAAGTGGGAGTGTGGCTCGGTGGATCCGGCCCTTGAGGCGCGGATCGATAGCTCTGGTATCGGCGCACATGCAGCGATGGCGTGGCGGGAATGGAGATGGGTAAGGCGAGAACTGCCCGCGGTCGGTGCGGGCTTCGGTAGAGTGATTAGGTTATGCATTTTACTGAGTAGTTGGCGATCTCTCTTCTTCCTTCCTTCCCACTACTTCTCTGCGCTCCTTTCTTGGGCTTGGGCTCATAAATGTTCTGAGACCATTGGGCCGGTCACTCTCTTGTTCTTGGGCTCTGCGAGAACTCCTCTTGGGCTCGGTGTTGATAGGGTGCGGCGTCGTGACAGGTAGAGATGGGGAGCTTTCGTATGGGCGAGAGCGAGAAAGATGGAGGGGATGAAGAAAGCGGGAAGATGCAAAATATCATTTTCCGTGTCCTCGAAAACGCAAATTCCCATTGAGCTGATGAGTATCTTTTTCTCGTCGTGACAATTTTATACTATAGAAGTAGCATTTCAACATAATAATATCCGCTTCATTTTAAATTATAATGCATTTTGATTTTTCTAGATACATTAATTTTATTATATATTTAGGCATAGTCTATATATAAGCTCCATAGTAAGCCAAAACATGTTATAATTTGAAAGTGAGGAGTAGCAAATAATTAAAAATAATTAAGAGCATATCAAGAGTTCCATAGATCCCTTTCTAATCATTGTTTTTAGCAAGATGAGAAAAACTTCTTTCCAACAACTCTTAATCCATCCTCCTAATCTTTTAGAACTTGTGAAAAGTCACCATGTTCCGCATAAAGTTATGCGGTTCCAAGTCGTCATGATATCTTTTCTCCTCAAGCGTGTTTGTCGGCTAATCTAAAGGTGAAAGGCGTGTTAAGATTAAAGAGTAGGAAATGGTTCATAATGCAAATGTACAAGACAGAAAGAATCTAAAAAAGTGGTGAGAATAATTTAGAAATAGTATATGATTCCTGATATAAAATTGTCTTCTAATTTTAGGAGTGGATTACTAGAAACTCTTGGTGGTGGTCTTCTTTATTTATTTTAATACTTTTTAGAGTTATAAAACTCTATGTTTTAATGCTCTAAAGGGGCGTCTGGGACTCTTCCACAAACTTCACTGTAGTAAGCGACTCCATTAAAAAACTGGAGTTTGTGAAGCACAACTCCACCCTTTTTTTCTCGAGCGGAGTGCGTGGTCAAACCGTTTAGTTAAAAAACATGAAACGGAGCTGAAAAATATGAAGCAGAGCCATCCCAAACACCCCTAAGTATCTCGTATTAGCAGAGACGTATGTGCCTATGTGTACCCTTAGTCCACTGCCGTATGCACTACACATCTTTTCTTCACCGTAGTACCGTGGAGAACAATAAATATATCCTATACAAAGCAAGTTTTATGCCAATGCACATGGTAATTAAAGCCCTCGAACCATGGGGTGCATCGAGATTTGGGATCTGTTCATCCAAAAAAATACCTGTTCAGTATTTTACTCGGAAACCCGTGGATCCACAATCCCCGCAGCAATTTTTCACCCCGTTTTTCATCTTCTACTGGAGTACTTGCTTAGCTACGATAAATATAATGGTGAATTGAAACGGTGAAACCCTGCATGAGCTACCGGATTCCCCACTCCTGTTTGACCCTTGCCAGTTCGCCACGCACGATGACACGATCCATGGCTGGCAACAAAAGAGCTGATGAGTAATTTATAACATAGTCTTCACCTTAAATAAATGCCCGAGTTATTTTTTTGTTAAAAAAATGATAAGTTCACAAGCACGAAGCAGACACAAAAGCCAAGACAAATAATCATTTTTGACAAATATTACAAGTTGCGAGGGTGCAACTCTCATGCCGTCTAGCCACAATGCGGGAGCACTTGCACTACAGCAACAAGCTGGTCGGCATCCGGCGGCACTATCGCCGCTGCGCGCCGGCAACGCCCCACATCGCCGTAGCCTTCCTCCTCGTCGCGCTCGGCGTGCTTTACCTCATCTTCGGCCCGACCAACTCCGACCTCAACCTCGTTCTCGCCATGCCTCGCGTCCACGTCGTGTTCAACGAACCCGCCGTCGTCCCAGCGGCGCCTGCTGCCGCCGCGCCTGCCTCCGGCAACGCGACCGACGATGACGAGGACCGCGGCCTCCCGCCGCCTCGGCAGCTGACGGACCCGCCCTACTCGCTGGGCCGAGCCATCCTGGACTACGACGCGCGCCGGTCCGCGTGGCTCGCGGCGCACCCGGAGGTGCAGGTGCAGCCAGCGGCCGGGAGGCGGCCGCGGTTGCTGGTGGTGACGGGATCGGCGCCCGCCCGGTGCCCCGACCCCGACGGCGACCACCTGCTGCTGCGGGCGTTCAAGAACAAGGCGGACTACTGCCGCGTGCACGGCCTCGACGTGTTCTACAACGCGGCGTTCCTGGACGCCGACATGTCCGGGTTCTGGGCGAAGCTGCCGCTGCTGCGGGCGCTGATGCTGGCGCACCCGGAGGTGGAGCTCCTCTGGTGGGTGGACTCCGACGCCGTGTTCACGGACATGGCGTTCGAGCCGCCGTGGGAGAGGTACGAGCGCCACAACCTGGTCCTCCACGGCTGGCCCGCCAAGGTGTTCGAGGAGAGGAGCTGGGTCGGCATCAACACCGGCAGCTTCCTCATCCGCAACTGCCAGTGGTCGCTCGACCTCCTCGACGCGTGGGCGCCCATGGGGTCACGCGGCCCCGTCCGCGACAGCTACGGCGAGCTCTTCGCCCGGAGCTCTCCGGGCGCCCGCCGTTCGAGGCGGACGACCAGTCGGCGCTCGTGTACCTGCTCCTCACGCAGCAGGGCGGGTGGGGGACAAGACGTTCATCGAGAGCACCTACGAGCTCAACGGCTTCTGGGAAGGGATAGTGGACAGGTACGAGGAGCTGCGGCGGAAGGGCGCCCGCCGGGGCCTCGGCGACGACCGGTGGCCGTTCGTCACGCACTTCGTCAGGTGCAAGCCGTGCCGGCAGTACGCCGACAGCTACCCAGTGGACCGGTGCCGGCGCGGCATGGCGCGCGTTCAACTTCGCCGACGACCAGATAATGAGGCTGTACGGGTTCGAGCACGGTCGCTCAACACCACCGCCGTGCAGCGCGTCGGAAACGAGACCGGCGGCCCGCTGGACGCGGACGATGAGGAGCTCGGCCGGCTATTGCACCCCACGTTCAGGGCTGCCAGGCCCACACAGACGTAGTCGACTCCACCACGTTGAGGGCCGGCCTTATGGTTGACTTGTTTTTTTTTTCCTTTCTCTCGTGCCCTCTCCCTTGTTACTCTGACATTCGATTTCATATTTTTATGGTCATTCTGCCCTTGTTACTCTGACATTCGATTTCATATTTTTATGGTCATTCTGGATTTACTTTTGTACAAGTAGCAGTAGGCATAAAGGTTAGTAGTGGCTGTTTCACTTCAGATTTTTCTTTTCTCCTGAGTTACTAATTTTTAACTAAGGTTTCAGTTAATAACTAGTTCATTACCAAGCCAGCTGTAGCTAGCTTAGGATAAAAAGAAGCCACATATAGAGAAATGACTAGGATGACCTCCCCACCTACCATATTTCCCCATATCTCCCCTGTCCCTATGTCTCCCTCTCCCATCACCCACGCCGCTGCGTGCCATCATGCGTCTCCACCCAACCACCGGCGTCCCATGCAGAGAAGCAGGGCTGGTCATCCCGGACCACTCGCCTCCACCATGCATCTAGCTCTGGGCCACAGAGGCATCCCACACTAGGAAACAAGTTTGATCGACCTAGATCCACACCCATCCCAGCTGCCAACATCCTTGCCCATTGCGTGTCTAGCTCACGGCTGCAGTCACGCAAGCCTTAGCCGCTTGTGTCCTTGTCCGCTGGTCCGCAACATACCCTAGCATGACTCCACACCCAAGCACTGACAAGGGTGGTGCCGAGGAGATGATATGGCGAGAGGAGGAAGGAGAGTAGACATGTTTGAGGAGAGAGGAGAGGGGTGGCTTTGGTGGGAGGAGGCGGGGGACGACGGTGTCATAAGAAAGAAAGGCGGGTGTGAGAGGCGAGAAAAAAGAAATGGTACTCTAGTCTAGGTCCAATCATTGCAATAAACTACTAGCTGGGATCAAACAACCAAATGTCTAAAGTTTAGCTAGCGTAGATCAACAACAAGGCCTTGATCCTCCATCGAGAGCACACATGTGCTTGAAAATGTGATTCCAATGGGTTGCATTGCATCTCTAGCCCTCAAAATTCGAAGGAAAGCAATCATATGAGTTCAAAACTCATGTTTCAATTCCAATTGCAATATATATCGAAATGGATGACACGGTTGTTAGATAAATTACTAAGCCACGAGGTCATTCATATGACCATTGAACAAGGTGTATGTTCACATTTGCAATGTCTGAACACGTTTGCTAGTACCTTATAACTTGAAATGAATTTTGAACCTTTGATAAGAGGAAAATTCATGGCCGGTCTTCGAACTTGGCATGAGGTGTCATCTAGATCCATCTCTCAAAATGCTATTTTTGGGTCCTTAAACTTGGTTTCGGGTCTCATCTAGATACAAATGGGTCTTAACCCACTGCATGCGTTAGCGTACTTACGCTAAATGTGCATTGAAGTGGACCCCGACATATAGGGCCCATTGTCGAGATCCTTCTCTCCCTTTTGATTCTTCTCCTTTATCTCTTTCCTTATGTCTCTCA